TGTTTGAACTGCTGCCATCAGGAAAACATTTCCAGAGCACTGAAGGAAGAACCTCCAGACTGATCAACAGCTTCATTCCAGATATACACACGATTCCTTATTTAATTGCTTTTAGCTATTGGATCCTGAAGAAATGCTCTACCATCTTGTTTGTCCTAGTGTTGTATGTACAGCAAGTTGACAATAAACTTGATTTGATTCACTTTAATTCTAATCAGTGACACCAACAAACCAGCTTTAATCAAGTCGAGCTGCAACCATTCATCGGTTGTAACCTGTAGTCTGATTCCAGCGTATGAAATTTGTACATTTTCTGATTTCTTTCCTCCTCTATGAAAGCAAACTGAACATCTAGACGTTTAATCTCCATCTGATGGCGTCTGTTGGTGCCAGTAGAACATGTTCTGTCATCCGTCCATCTTCAAATACTCTGAGGAGGAGAAAGCAACACAAACTAGACATTGAAACCAGCAAAGACAGTGAAGATGCTTTTAAAAAGTCTCTTTCTGGAAATACATAAAACATGAATCCACTGAGGATTGATGACTTCTTTCGCATCATTTTCTTTTGTTGCGTTCAGTCCAACATTTATATTCTGTTTTATTTGTCTTGCAGTGGAAGCAGCTTGTGACACAAATTGTGACAATATGAAGACTTCTATGTACACTTACTAATGAGTCCACGTCACCAATTTGACATGTCAAAATTGCAAAAACCTTGGAGTACAATTAGCCACACATCAAACTCTACTAACATTAGAGGCCCTTAATGTTGGTGAAATTTCAACCAACAACTGTATTTCTACATGCATGTATTTACACTTAAAGGAGCTTTCTGAGGCCCCTAAACCACCTTCTTGTTATAAAATCCCACTGTCTTCCATTTTCTGAGGGCAGGCCTCTGCAGGACTCACTCAGTCATTTTGCTCAGCTGTAAACGTTTTCTTCTGCATCCTTACCAAAGTTCATGGCTGTGGGAGTTTTATTTCTGGAGATATTGAACCCCTAATGTGCTTGTTTAAGAGTGAAAATGCAAAAAATCCAAAATCCCCACCCCAAAAAACTCAACTAAGTTGTCAAAATTATGACAAAAATATTTTACAGAACTTAGTTTTGGAACCCATGTAATAAATAAGTAAACTCTGAACAAAATCTGAGATGGATCTGAGATTCAAATCATAAAAATCTGAAAAATCTCTGACTGGCTGCTGTGTTGCAGGTTTGTCCAGTAGATGGCGCTCTCCCTCATCATTGCCAGCTGAAGTCTGCAGACCTTTCATGAACTCAGAGCAGCTAAAGAGAGTCTAAGCTGAGTTTTCATCACGTCATCATTCACAACACAGCCAAGATCAGTCACTTTCTTAAATCTTTCCAACAGATCGACCTTTTTATTTTTACTTGTTGCTCATTTTGTCCATTTATTTTAACTGTATATCAAGTTCTTGTGTAATCATACGGCAGCAAAACATTTTGGTTGAGCCCCTGTTTGCTCTGATTATTGTGTGTAAAGACTAAACAGGACTTGAGTCTCAGTTTGCACCACAAGGGGTCGTTGAACACAACAGAAACTGAACATGTGGCTTCGACTTTATCGAAAGTGTCTAAATGTACTGATGAGAAAAACTCATCGACGTCACATCACATAAGTTCAATCTGCTGTAACAAACATGTTTATAAAAGCCTTTCAGTCTGGTGGTTCTTCCTCCTCTGACACTTTATTGGCTTTTGTTTGTCCTTAGTGGCCTCAGTAGTTTGGTATATTATAATTATTTACTTTTACCAGTTGATTTAAAAACTTTTAGTGCCGTTTTCTTTGCTGTTGCTTTTTTGTATTTTAAATTTATTTTATTTAGTTTTTACAAATAGTTTTTTTTCTGTTGCTTTTTTATTTCTTTATTTTATTTTTACATTTTATTTTGCTTATAGGTTTTTATCTGTTCTGTCCTGTGTTTATAGTTTCTGTTTATTTTTTAAAAATAGATTTGTTTTTATCCTGTTGTCTATTTTTCTTTTTAGTATTTTATATTTATTGCATTTTCTTTCACAAATTGATCGTATAAGTTTTCAACCTGCTTTCAGTATCGCATTTTTTGGGGGGAGGGAAATTTATTGTATAAATTTTTTTCCAAGTGGTTTGTCTTTTATTTCTTTATTTTTTTTTACTAGTTGATTGTATGACTCTATATCCTGCTTTCTTTTGCTTTTTTTGCACACGTTCTTGTCGTTGCCTCTCTTGCAACATGTGCAGCCCTTTGGCCCACTTTAACAGGTTACCTGCATGTTGAAAATTAAGTTGTTTTGGTGTTTTGATATCCAGAAATAATGTACTTCTATGTTTAGTCAAGCTATCAGCATGTTTTCTATTTTGGCTTATCAGTCTTCCTCACAACCCCTGAGATGTTGCCGAGCAGCCAGTAATAGTGTTAACTCCAGGTGTGCAGCACGACTCCTCGCTGCAGATAACAACCTATATTCGGTGTGTTGATGTTCAACTATAGAGACTTTGTAAATATAAATATCCTCGTCACAGATGCCAGATGCACCACATTTCTGTCGCTGCCTCACGCATGTTGTCTCCTGTTGATCTCCGAGCACAAATGGGTGTCTGAGTCTCAGCGGGGCTTTGACAAATGAGATGTTTGTTTTTTAACTGTCGCTTGTTTGAACACTTAACTGGTGCAGACTTCCCCGTTTTGTTATATTACAGATAGTATGAAGTAAAATCAGAAACAAATACATGATTTACATGGTAACTGTAACAACAAACTAACAAAAAACAAGCCAAACTATAAATGTCCACATAAAAACATCTGATTTAAAAAAAGAACATTTCTAATTCATTCTTACCAACTTTTACAGTGAAACCAAACTATTTCTTGCTTTATTTAAATACGCAAAAATGTTTTTTTATATAGATGTTTGCCATTATTTGTAAAAGCTAGTTTTTAAACTGTTGTTTTATGGATTTCACTGTTCGTTACCTTATGGCTACTATCTAGAAAAATCACCAAAAAAAATTATTGACACGCTGACTTAAAAAAAAAGGTCCACATCTAAAATCTGCACATTTACAAATAAATATCATGAAGGTTCGAGAGAAAATCAATTTCAGTTCCTTTATGTGTACATATGTAGCAGAACTGACAATAAAGTCACTTTGACTTTGACTAAATATATATATTTTTACTATATGTAACTGTAAAATGTCACTGTTTAACCCTATTTAATTTCATTTAAATCAGCTGAAAACATATTTAACAAATATATGCAGTAATTTTCATCACCTTTACAGTTCTACAGTTTTTATGTTTTCCTGCTGCCAGATTTTCATCTTTTTAGTTGCAGCATTTTTGTTTTTAAGTGTAGTTATTCACATGAAGATTACTTATGGATTAGATTGCAATTAAACACTCATAGTTCTTTATTTTAATGCATTATTGTGCATAATTTCCATTCAACTCTGATCTGCTGCGTGAAAACACTGAATACAATAGAATAGAATGCTTTTATTGTCATCATGCACAAAGTACAACAAAATTGAAAGACAACTCCAGTGGTGCAAAACATGCAAGTACAAAATAAAACAAATACAATATATAAATATATTTTAAAAAGGAGCCAGTCAGAGAGTATGCACAGTTAGGAACGAGCATGACAACAATCAGATATATTGCACTGCACCAGATCTCAGTAAACAGCTGTTGTTTGTCACATAACACACACACACGTGTTTATTTAGCAGCTTCGGTTGACACAGAAGTTGGAGTTTTTTGGCTCAGAGATGTGCAGAGTCGGTGCAGAGCTGCAGGTGCACCGGGTGAGCCGGAGGTTGCGGTGAAGCGGGAGGTTTCGCCTCCGTCGTTTCTCAGCACAGATGACGAGCTGCAGGCTGCTCTGAAACCACATCCTCCCTTCTGCCGTTCGTCTTTCTCACCAGCAACAGCTTTGACCTCCTTTAGCTCACAGACGAGGGCTGACTTCCTGCTGCTGTGTGGCAAACTCTGACATTTAGTTTCCTACTGATGCTGTTTTATGCATAAAGGGAATGAACAATAATCAGCTTCTCATGTTAGTGCAAAGTGGAAAAAGTGTCTCAGATGAACCCACTTTAAGTCGTATTTTTATGACAATGCCCAGCTATCCATTTAGTTTATTAAGCAATGAGAAAACTTGCGTCACCTCGTTCTCCTAAGCTGAGATATTTCAGGAATATGTAGGAGGAAAAAATACCTGACTTCTCAGAAAACAGGCAGATAAGCGAGCAGCTAAAAATACCTCAAAACTATCTGTGGAAAACATGATGTTTAGTGTCGATATGAGAGCAGACAGGAGGAGAAACTCAAGCAAAAGTCAGAACGAAACATCATTTCACAAACGTTTATTGAGAAAATAATGAAGCATTAAGTGGAAACGGTTTTAACGAAACACAAACAGTGACGTGGACATAGAACCAGTCACACAGTAGGTTTACCATTGAATATGCATAGATATGTTTCTGTATTGTTAGCAGGATTCAGCTGGCTTATTTATATATGAATGCAAATACGCTGCAGCATTTTATTTACACAAACAAAGACAATCCGTCTCCTGCTTGTTCAGGTCTCATCTCAGCTCTCAGCTGTATTTTCTGGCTGAACTCTGCAACACAAAGAAAGGACAGATCGTCTTACTGCCATGAGATTTTTTTAGTTGGACATCATTGGTTGATGATGATGCCGCCGCCGTGCATACATTATTACAAGTTTAAGCTTTTTATCGCAAGAACAGGTCATAAAATAAAGTGTGTAAGTGGGATCAATTGTGCAGGAGCAAGCTGGAGTTCATGTTCAACATACCTGAAGCTTCCACACCAAAAACCCAATGAAGGCTCCGTAGATGCAGCTCTTCACGATTAGGACGCCGTACGAGAGTTTGGCATTTTGTAGGTGCTTCAAATACTTCTCTGCGGAAAGTTCAAAGAGGAAATATTTAGTGCACAATTTAAACACTGAATTCAATCCCCTTTATCTTAAATATGTTAGAAAAACAACAAAAGCATGTATTTACCTTTGGTCATGCCTCCCTCTGATTTACCTGAGGAAATGATGGACAGGATTAGACACATGCAGGTGGGAAGTTTATTTCAGATTTCTGTGTTCCAAATAAATTACCTTGAATACTCTTAATGGAAGCATGACGAAGGACATTTTCTGTTCCATTATAGAAGCTGACGATGCATTTGAAAGTGTTGCCGAGTTTGTTATAATCATCAGCAGGAACTCTCAGTCTGCTGGTGATTCTGTAGGTCTTGTCAGGTGTTCTCTTGGCAGCGCTGTCCGTCGCCACGCCATCCTTAACCCCGTTACCGTTTTTTTCCCAGGAGACGCTAACATGGTCGGGGTAGAAACCGGAAGCCACACAGACGAGGGTCTTCTTCCTTATATCGTCCTTTTTGTTTCTGCACTCCTTTGCTGAAGGTGGAAATATTTTTACCGTCGGTGGGGTGACTGGTTGTCCTGTTTCTGCAAAGACAAAGAACAAACAAAGTCAAAGCTGCTTCATAACACGAACAGTTTAACCTCCAATAGCAACCCAAACAACATGCTGATTACATGCTTTTTAAGGTTGTTTTCTGTGGATAAAAGTGTTTTTTAAATGAAGTTATTTCAGTGATCTCACCGATAACTGTCACTTTGGTTCCTTCTCCAAAATAAGCAGGATAAGAGTCAGAGCACAGCGCTGACTGACGTGTAAAAAACTGACTGACTTCTACTTTATCCATAAGTTTTTTCATCCAACAAAATCCCCGTCAGGGTTTCCTCACATACACTTCATGGTTAATGCAAGTAAACAAATATTGTTTTGTAAATGAGACAATGTTGGATCTTGTGAGCGGTTCAGTTTTTCGCTGCAGACTGTGCTTTTTTTCCCACATAAACTAACCAGTTTTACACCCAAAAAACACACAGTTTTATGAAATAAATCCCAAATTAATATCTTGACCATATTAAACTGCCTATTTTAGGTCCATTTTAGAGCCAAAGGTGAAAAAAACACAACTTTACCAGAGTTTTTGTTAGGCTACTACAACTTTTCTCTCCCTTAATTCATGATCAATGCAAATAAAAAACACTGTTTTGCAAATGAGACAATGTTGAATCTTGTTAACAGTTCTTTTCTTTCTTTTTTTTCAGCACTGACAGCTACAGATTGTGCTTTTTTTTTCAAATCAACAAAACAAGTTTTGTACACAAACACGTATTTTAACAATTTCACTCACAATCAAATGTCTTTCTCATAATAAACTGCTGATTTAAGGCCCATTTTAGAGCCTTGGAGAGTTTTTTGTTATGCTACGACTACAAATACAGTTCAGCATTCTGTTTTGAACTTTCTCTCCTTCATTTTAAGACGAATGCAGGTAAAAAATACTGTTTTGCAAATGAGACGATGTTGGATCTTGTGAATAGTTTCAGCCAACAACTTTTGCACACAAACAACAAAGTGAAAACACATTTTTAAGAAAAAGCAAAACAGGTTTTTACGATATAAATTGTTGATTTAAGGTCCATTTTAGAGTCCAATATTTAATAAAGCACAAATATGACCAGAGTTTTGTTGCTGTTACTCGTGCAGATACACTTTCTACGTTGTTTTTCTCACTTTGTGACTATTGCAGGTAAAGAAAAATACTGTTTGGCAAATGAGACTTTTGATTTGTTTTAGTGCAAAGGACAGATTGTACGGCTTTAATAGAAGGAATAAACTGTCACAGTGATTTATTTAGTAAAACAAAGTCGGATATTCCAACCAAACGTTGCCTTTTTCTTTCAAATTGACAGGTTTTTCTTATTTTGTCCAACAGATTTGACTTTTTTCTCTCCAATTTTGACAGCATACCTGCACGTCTGTCACTGACTAAAGTATTAAAACAGATTTTTTCAACAACAGTTAATGAAGCTCAATAAAAACATCAGATTTTTAGAATTTTCTTACCCAAAACCGTCAGTTTGGTGCCTTTGCC